TTTCTTTCTTTCTTTCTTTCTTTCTTTCTTTCTTTCTTTCTTTCTTTACAATACAGAACAAAAAAAAAACTTAACTTAAAATGTATCTGCTTAATGGGTTTTATTAATAAAATGTACATATGTTCTTGTTTAATGTTTATTGATTTAAATATTTATTTACATTATGGACAATCTAGTTTTTTATTCGTATAAATAAACTCCCAAGTCACGTTTGTTATAAACAAGATACTTTTTTAAAACTTGTCTAACAAATTATTATTTGTAATTTCCTCCTGTAGACAATAGGCCAATCTTCTTATATTACTGTACTATTTATTTTACCACTAATTATAACAACAAGAACAGAACAACAAAAACAACAATAATAATAAGGTCTAAAATTTACAGTAGCTATAATATCGTTAATGATGGATATTAACGCCCATCAATATAAAATGTTTTTTGTTTTTTTTTAAAAAGCATGAAACATTTGAAAACAAGTCAAAGAGGATGTAAATATGCAAACCAAGTTGTGTTCTTCTCATCATGTCCACTCTGTTTTATTGTGAAAACACCATGTTCTGTGGATGCCTCTCTGTCAGTCAGCATGACGCGCGCGCGTCACGGGGCTGAGGGCAGCCTTTATAAAGGCAGCTGACAGCCTCCTCGGTAAATCCCGGTTTGGAGCGGACCCATCAGATCAGTCATCCTGTTTGCTGCTCCACTGCGCAAAACAAAGTGCCTGAAGGGATGGAAGTGGGAGGCATCTCCGCTCGCGCGCGGACCGACTCCATCCCCGATCCGCAGCAGCGCAGAGAAACCCCCCAGCTCCACGGCATGCCGGACGGACAGTGCGACGGCTCCTCCAAAGTCCTGCTGGCTTACAAACACGCGTCGCAGCACCTGAACTCGTCCGGAATCAAAGCGGGCTTGGGGATCCTCAAAGTGGCCACGTCTCAGTGGAAACAGGACAAGAAGGCGCGTTCAGGCGCAGCCGTGACGCAGCTGCCTTCTGCCAACAGCAGCCACCCGTGCAAAAGATCCCCGCTGGATCAGCTGGCAGCTTTAGTTCTCCACGGTCAGACCAGGACGCGCAGACTTGGTCAACAGGATCCACTTTACTCGACCAAGCCGCAGAACTGTAAGCGCATGGTGGTTCTCGGTGCGCCGCGGGTTGGAAAGACCTCCATCCTGAGGAGGTACCTCCGGGACGGCTTTGTAGAGGAGTACAATCCAACCTCAGAAGATTTCCTCAGGAAACTGTTCCGCATCCGCGGGGAGACCTACCAAATAGACATCCTTGATGCGTCCAGAGAGAGGGACTTCCCAGCCAAGCGGCGTCTGTCTATTCTCACTGGTGCGTAAAATCCAATCTGCAAAATATCCAGTTGCTTCTTAAGTGTTTATTTTTATTAAGAAAAAACAATTGTCACTGGCACTTCAAAATGAGTCATCGAGGCTCAATGAGACTAACCTGTATAAATAAAAGTTGGATGAAATGTATTCACTGCGTGCGTAATTTTCTCGAAACCACTTTTTAAAACTTGATTGTTTTTCATTCTACAGGAGACATCTTTCTCCTCGTGTTCAGCCTCGATGACAGGAGCTCCTTCGAAGAGGTGTGCGCCCTGAGAGCTGAGATTTTAGCTGCTAAATCCAAGCTCACCAAGTCCCCGGTGCCAGAGCAGTGCGGGCCGCAGCGGGTTCCGCTGGTGGTGTGCGCCAACAAGGTGGACCTCCTGGAACCCGAGAGACAGATCACCCAAGCCGAGGTGCTCCAAGCGCTCGGAGATGACTGTGTTTATTTCGAGACCTCTGCAAAGGACAGCACTAATCTGGAGAAACTCTTCGAGGCTTTGGCGAAGCGAGGGGGTCTTCCGACGGAGACGGGCCCGTCCCAGCACCGCAAGGTGTCCCTGCGCTCCTACCAGGCCATGCGGACGGAGCGTGCGGCGTGGAATGGGAGGCAGGTGGCGGGGCGAGACGACCCCTGCGGGACCCTGTACCCACTGGCACGTCGGCCCAGCTTCACCACGGATCTCAGACAAGTCACCGGACCTCTAACTGCAAGCAAGACCGGCAAAGGACTGGAGAAGTGCCACGTACAGTGATGCGCACGGACCAAAACAATCAAACACTTGAACACTTTTGTCTAATTATTATAAAATGTTTTTCAATTGTTTTTTTTATAAATAAAAACTTTTTAATATATAATTGTTTCATTTTTTTATCTATCTATCTATCTATCTATCTATCTATCTATCTATCTATCTATCTATCTATCTATCTATCTATCTATCTATCTATTATAGGGGTTAGGTTTAGGGTTAGGTATGTACTGGTAATGGTTAGGTTTAGGGAATGGTTTAGGGTAAGGGTCAGGGTTAGCCTATAGAAATTAATGAAAAATGACTGGAAGTCAATGCAAAGTCCCCGTAAAGATAGAAAGATAAATGTGTGTGTGTGTTTCCCCATTCAAACAACTGTTGAAGGACAAAGTGGGAGGACGCTGAGTCAGTAACTTGATTGAATATTGGTACTATTGCGTAACCTTCACTCAAAAGTCTATTAGACTACAAGTATTCATCCTCACCCACTTGTTTTTTTTTCTCTTCTTGTGTGTGTGTGTGCGTGGCTTTGTTTTACGTAAGTGTGTGATACATAATTCGTGATCACCAGAAGTGCCTGAATCCCACCGCCCCCCCAAGAAAAAATAAATAAAAAAACAGCCAGATAAGAGCTGAGGTTTCCAGTTGGCATACACCTTCTTCATCCTACATCACCCTATAAATACTGATCAGATATGGACACTTGGAGCCAACTGATTTATTATTTTATTTAGCCTACTCATTCTGTTCCTTTTCTGGTTCTTTCTTGTGAAGCTCTGTAAAAGAATGTGCAGACATCAGAGGGGGGGAAAATGACTAAAATTCAATTATAACCTTGTTTATTTTTTAATGTCAAAGACATTTTGACCACATGTGCAAGTTTGTTGTTCTCTCACTATTCAGGATTGTCAATAGACGAGCTTCCATGGCATTTGCGTCCCCTCTGCAACAGACAATAGACCCCTCAGCCTTTATGTTATCTCATATGATCCCAACCCTGCAGTATTTTAGCACTTATTTTTAATAAGCTAAACAAAATTATCCAGGCTGTCATGTGCATTGACGCATGCAATTATTAAACTCTCCCTCCTGTTATCTAAAATAGAGACCTAAGTGTGAACTCTCATGTTACAATACTCACTGTTACGGTATCATGTGGTTTTTCTAAAGAAAGAAAATTGGTTATTATTGTAAAATTATGATGAGTCATGATACCTAAAAGCCTGGAAACGATACAAGAAATTATGCTGAACGGAGGCTCCGAGATGTTTGAGGGAACTCTAATAGCATCATTTAGGCAAAAGGAACAGGTAAAAGCTAAGATTCAATACAGTCTTTTAGTCAATGACTTTGCAACAAAGCTAAATTAACTTAAAATCTTTTCATGTCAAGAGGTGAGCAGTAAACACATTTGTCTTCAAACACACTCCTCTGACTCAAACAAACATTTAACTATTTCTGCAGATTGTATGAAGTTTGGATTTCTCAAATTTAAACATTTAAGAAAGAAGCTGATTCCAACAAAGTTAAGTCAGGTCTGGACGGTTTCTTTTTGTTGAAATGTTTCATCCTTCACCCACAAGACTTCATCGGTCCGAGGAGCCACAATAAACTCAGCCCCATAAGTAGCAAACTCACATAGTGGGCCAACCATGATAAGATGGTTTCTGGAGTCTGCCTTCTTCTCCGTCTACTCCTCTGAGGCTGCCATGGCCAAAGCGGTTCAAAACATCCATGTCCATTGCTCAATAATCCAGGTAAAAAATACAAAGTTAAGTCAGGTCTTCTGGACGTTTTTTTTTTTTGTTGAAGAAAGAATCAACAAACACTTTCTGAAATGAATGACAAAAATAAATTGAATTTTTTTCACAATACAATAGTCCCTCGTTTATCTGTACCGATAAATAGGAACAGTAGTATAAATATATATATATATATATATATATATATATATAGGCGTTTTAAACCCTTCCCACTCTCTTGCAATATTCTAAACAATGTTTCTAAACTAAATGCTCTAAAAGAGCACAGCATGTCATGATTTCAGCTCCCTGCCTCCGCTGCTCTTTGCCACCTGCAAGCGCTCTTGGCCACGCCCACTTCTCCGCTCTGCGCAGAGAACAGCTGATCAGCTGCATGCAGGAACTTTATCCTGCAGTGTGGGCTGCACAAATGTGCAGGAGGTGCTAAATAATTTAAAACGATATATATTTAAATAAAAAATTCCATGACGATCATACGGCGCATCCATCAATCAGCCAATTGTGTGTCATGTCTGTTCTTATGTTGAAAAACCGCGACAGAGCGAGTCCCTGATAAACGAATCGTGAAGCGAGGGACTACTATATTCTAATTTTTTGAGATGCACCTGTAGAGACAGATGAGACAAATAACATTCACCCTCTCACTCACACCTATAGGGACAATTTAGAGATACAGTTTAGCCTAACGTGGTTCTGTCTAGCGGGAGGAAACCGGAGTACCCGGAGAAAACCCACGTGTGCACAGTGAGAACAAACTCCACACAGAAATGCAGGGAGGTGAACCTGCGACCTTCTTGCTACGAGGCACAGTTCCCACCACTGTGTTGCCGTGCTGCCCAAATAAAATAAAAAAAAACTTATCAGGAAATGTAATATTTCCAAACAACCAAATTTTCCAACTTGTAATGTTGCACTTTCTTAAAATCTTGTTATATTCCTGACATACAGACAAACCAAACAGTTTGAAGGAGGAAAAAACATTTTCAGGTTTGATGGGTGACAGTAAACCAGCTCAGAAAGAATTATTTGCACGGTTTGCTTTTACTTCAGTTCTTTTTAAAATATTAGCTTCTCAGTATTTTTTGTTTCACACACTGGTACTGAAACAATTGCTGAACAGAAAACTCTGTTGCAACAAATAACTTATCACAAGAAAAAAAAAAAAAAAAAACAAGGTCCCGTGCCAACAAATTCTTCAGTGCCCTCCAGCAGAGAAACGTTTTGTTTTATTCCTTTTTATAAGCACAGCCAATCTTGAATATAACTTTTTAATACGTGTTTGTTTGGTTCTTCTGTCAGGCAGACTGTTCAGTCCAACTGACTGTTGATCAAAACTCAAATACTCTTTTATGATTAGAAAACAAGTATACTGCAAAGCTGTAAAAGGAATACAGTACATGCATTAACAGCATCAATCTCCACCTCCACCACCTTATGAGAACATGTCACAGCCTCATAAACAAAAAAAAAAAAAAAAAACTTTTCACATGTAAACTGAAAGATACTGATACAGATCCACAAAATAATCAACAATGTCGACATCTCAAACATTCCACAGTCTGATCTCAACACATAAGTAGATCATTCATGAAATGGCGACAGTTTCACTTTAAAAACCTGTGTGTATTTGTATGCTTTATATAAGTAGTTTCTGTTTGAATAGTACAAAATTACATGTACTTTTTTACTTCAGTTTCAATCATTAAGATATTTGCTGTTTCAAATAGAATGAATTATTTCTAGTTGGGATTTTTTTTTTTTATTGTAGAATGCAACAACAAAGGACAAACTGTTACATATTCTTTCTTTAATTGGTCTGTGTAATGTGGTAAAATTAAATAAATATTTATTACCTAAAAGCCGCCGTGAAATGAATCAGTGTTTGCCTTTATGTTAGTTTATTGCAGTGGTTCTCAAACTGGGGTCACCGGATCCCCGGGTGGGTCCTCCAAAAATAAATAAATAAAATAATAATTTACAAGCACGTAGATGTTTAACAACCTGTTAAATATAGCAAAATGCAGGAAATCACAACTACTTTATTCAAAATTTTCGGGGGGAGGACGCCCCCCACCCCTCCACCATGCCGGCCCGCCTGTTATTTCCATTTCGGCATTGATCAGTTTACAAATTAAGCCCTGTTACTTGGCATGACTACTTGATTCTGTTCAGTTTTATGTAAAGAATTTCCCATAATTGAAGAAGTGGTAAAACATTTATGTTCGTTATGTGAATAGGTAAAGTGTTAAAGTGGTTTTTGATACTGTCAATTTTCTCAATACTGTAAATTTTGGAAGTTGAAGTTACATTTTTTGTTAATTACCGGTAAGTGTGTCTTGAATGAAAAATACCCCTTGTTTAAAAATTGTATTAACACTATTAAAGAACAAGTCTTAAGTATTTATGTTACACAAATTCCATTGCATTAAAGAGACAAATTTAATCAAATTATTTAATAAACATGAGTGTTATGAGGAGGTCCCTGAACCCCCAACATTTGAGAAGCCCTGGTTTATTGCATCTGTGCCCAGAGAAATAAAGTCAGAGAACAGGCAGCAGTGTGTACGAGTCTGCATCTTTTATACACATAGGGTGACTGTTCAACACGTTTGCAAAACTGACACAAACTACGGTAATTGGCCGTCGTGGTGCTTTGAGTCCACTCATACAGAAAGATAAGTGCTGAGAAGCCCCTTCTTGTACGTCTTTCACTCATCGTTGGGAGTGCACCTGTCTATTAGAGTGCAGGTTTCACACCAAAACAGACAGGCAGACAAGAGAGGATGATTAGAACAAAAGCAGAATGTTCTTAGGGATAACCTTTATTCAAGGTATTGTGAGCTGAAAAATTAGTTTGAAGGGAAGTGTGTCTGTTTTCACCGAGGCCTCAACAACTGGGTGCACGTGCAGAGGGATGACTTCTTTTTGTTAGCGCAATCACTGCAAGCACAAAGAGCTTCACAGAACAACACTTAGACTAATGATCCTGCCTCTGTTTGCACGTGAAGAGGATTCACTCGTCCCCTTCTTTCTATGACACACACACATTTTGCAGCATTAACTTCTGCAACGTGATCGTGTTTTTCTCCCCCGCCGTCCCTCATCCACTGGCAAGACTGCTGTTGATGTGAAGCAGCTTCCAGTTCTTCATTGGTTTCCATCTTTTTCTTTTCACACACATAAACATACACAGAATTTAGGAGAATTAAACAAAAGAGACAAACTTCACTCTGTCTCAAA